GCTTCCAGGTTTTACATAGTGATCAACTCATGAATTCAGTTATTGAATTATATATAAACTTTACTTACCTCATTTTTTGATTTAATCAATGAAATATATAGAATTCCAATTATTATTATGATTATTATTTATAAAGAGATTATTGAATGTAATAGAATCCACAAATGATTGTAAACATATTCAATGTTCCAATGTTACATAGATACAATCAAATAGAATTTGTTATAATAAGAAGAAATAGATAAATAAATGAATTAAATAATGAAATTGTTTTCTTTTTTTCATTCTTTTACTTCTTTCAATTTGAACTATTCACATAGAAACAATTATGTTTTTTCTCTTTTTTTTCTCTCTTTTTTTTCTTTTTCTTTTTCATTTGAACATTTTAACCAATCAAATTCATTGGATATTAGAATATACATTTTTGTTGTTGTTTTTATTTTCTCTTTAAATAAAAAAGGAAAGAGAAATCCCTTACTGTTGAATAAAAATTCAATAAACAGGTTAATATATTTAGGTGATGTTGTTTTATTATAAATCTATATATAGTGTGTACTTGTATGTATGTAGGTATGTGTGTGTGTGAATGTGTGTGTGTGAGTGAGTGTGTGTTGGTAACATGGATATACATGTAGATTGTATGAGAAAGTGTAAAGTTAATAAATCATTAAAAAAAAGAAGAAAAAGAAAACAAAAGTATACATGTACATAAATGAAAACAAGTGGATTCATATAATTATGAAATATACATGACCTTATTGTCTATATTATATACAATGATGTCTTGGTTACAGGAATGCTGTATGTAAACTGATTCATAATCATATTATTTCCTATCCTTAACTATAGAATATAATTATCAGTAAGGTCTGACATTAGATACCAGCTCAGTGGTCTAGAGGTTAAATGTTCACACTTGAGACCGAGGGTTCAAATCTCATGTGCGGGATCATGGATGCGTACTTCTGAAGAGTCCTATACTTGGACAAAATGGTTATCCATTGATTCCAAGTTTTCAATTGTGGTCTAACATTGGTCAATTCATGATCTCAATCGAAAAAACACATAATAGTTATTAAAAATATCAATATTAATTTTACAATAAAGCAATATTAAGTATTTTATGGAAGTTATTTTAACTCATAAGTCGTGTTTATTACTGAATAACTGAATAACCCAAAACGTTATCCAGTGTTCCAGCTGAAAATCAATGTGAGATTTACTTGTAACATGACTGTCTGGTTGAATATTTGAACTACCTGTTCTAGTCATCTGAGTATTTCAACAAGTTATTTGTCTTTTGTTTGTTTCAACAGGTCATTATGTCAATTAATTGCACAACCTATTCAGGTGCGTTTATGAAAAGTTCACGACATTTCTATGTGAAAGTTACAAAAAAGTACAATCAGAGATATTATTGTAGCTGATAGACAATATACATTGAAAAGAATGAACATGATCCAGATATCGATTCCTAAACTGTGAACGGCTGATTGGTGATTACTCAATGTTTACCGTCATGATCGATGAAGAAATAAGAGAAAAGGAGACTTGTTGAAATACATTTTATTGAGATTTCTATATGGTTCTATATTGTTTCTAGATTGTTCTTCACGAGAATCTTTCAACTATGTTAGCTAGCTCACTAGTGAATTATTTCAAAATATTCTTGAAATCATAATTGATGGAGTTTAGAAACAAACAATGATCATCAATAAAATTTGATCTTCGCGGTATATTACAAATTGATTGAGTTTGAAATTGTAAAACTGGATCAAACTCAGTGATTCTAATGGTTGAATGTTCTCAACAAGACTATTAGTTCTTAGATGTGATCGCTATTGCAATCAGAGTCGGGTAATACTGAGAATCCCATACTTGGACAATCTATTTGAGATGAGCCTGAGTGAAGTTAGACATATCCACTACTGAACGCCGACTCACAGTACAAGACATTATGTCATTTATTCGATCTTCGGTAAAGTTATAGATGCACAATGTTGTTCAATGATTCCTAATTACCAGTGGTTATCTAGCTAAGATCAATTTGTGATCCATCTTTTTCTATTTCTTCCCTTTTACATAGGATTAACCAATCTAAAACTTTATAGATTGTACAGTCAAAAAGAAAAAAGAAATATATATATATATTAAGATATAATGATTTTTAAAGTCTTTTTTTTCCATAGAACTACCAGTCTTTCATCAATTTGCATGAAATGGCATTTCTGAAACAGTCTATTATTATCATCAATAGTTGGGTTACAGAAAATCAATTGTTAATGTAACATATATACAATAAATCTATATTCCTTCTAATATGATTCTTCATAAATTAATCTTTGACATGACGTCAGATAACGATTACATATAAAAAGTTATCACTATCGTCACTGTAAAAAATAAAACGATGATGCACGTATGCCAAGAAGAGACTGATCAATTTCAGTCCTAAATTACAATCGGAACATTCAAGTAAAATAACACCAAGTGAATTTAAACTTCACTCCGTTGTACAAATAGTCCTAGCTATCAGGATTCAATAGTTAGATGGATAACGTGATGGCGTTTGAATCGAATGGTACTGAGACTGAGTCCTGAAGCGAACATCAACTCTGGGATGCAGGTACATCCAGCTGACAGGTCCCAAATAGGACGAAGTGGCGCGCGTTCTTCATTCCACTGCTAGCCAATATCCATCTTTGTTTATAAGACTATGATTTATTTTATGTATTTATCATATGTATATGTAATATAGTGTAGTGCATAAAAAGAGAAAGGAAGACACTGAGAGATAAATAATTTGGAATAAAACAACAATAGAACTGAGCCTAACGAAATAAATATCCAATAGTATAGAATATATCTGTTGAAATAAATCAACATAGAATTTCATTTGATTAAAATGTATAGTTATGATGTTGTTGAAGAAATGATAAGACGATTGAAATAAAGTTGTTATTGGTTTTTATTCTGAATTATTTTGAAAGTTATTGAGTTGTACAATCATAAGAGGCATAGAATTCATAAAGATCTTGATACTATGGATCATTGTTGAATAATTAATTGAATGAAGTTTATGGAAATCTCTTTAACATTATGGTATAACTGAGATGATCGTCATACGGAATTCACACGACGGATTGCACTACAAATTCGTGCATGGAAGACAGTTGATAGATACATTCCAATTGAAAACAGGAGTCCGACAAGGCTGCCTTCTCTCCTCTTTTCTCTTTGTTCTGGTGGTTGAATGGATTATGAAGGCCTCGACATCGGAAGGGAAGCACGGAATACAATGTACAGTTTGCATGCAACTAGATGATTCAGAATTCGTAGATGACCAAGCCCTTCTATTCCATGCATACGAAAAAAATGAAGATGTAGACAACCAGTGTAGCATCAACTTCCTCATCAGTAGACCTTAACATACACAAGGAAAAACCAACATCCTCAAATACAATATAGAGAACACCAACACAATCCCACTTGATTGAAAAACTCTGAAAGAGGTGGAAACTTTCACGTATCTGGGTAGTATCATCGATTAAATTCGGAGATCCCATGTAGACGTAAAGGCGAGGATTGGCAAAGTAAGAACAGCATTCCCACAGTTGAAGAACATATGGGACTCAAAACAACTGTCAACTAATATAAAAGTCACAATCTTCAATACGAACGTCAAGACAGTTAGTTCTACTGTATGGAGCTGAAACTTGTAGAACTACTACAACCATCATGAAAAAGTACAGGTATTTCTAAATAACTGGTGAGTGACCAATGCTCCTCCCTGAGGTATAATAGGCGTAATATTAGAGTTCTCTTTAGCAAGGTTATTTTGTACAGAATGAGGATGCTGACCCCATACCCAACCCTCCTCCTTTACCCGGGATATATATATATATATATATATATATATATATATATTGGTGACTATCGATTTTTCTTATCTTTGATCGATCATTCGGTGCTTAAAAGCTAATTTTTACTCCTAATCATTGAGTTTCAGGTATTTTGAACGATCTCATGAACATAAGGAATAATATAAGGTGTTATTTTATTGATTGACTAATTATACTATTGATTATGGCGTTTAGTTTGTCAAAAGAATGGTTTGACCAGTTTAATTGCTTTCGAAATGATAAAGACAATTTGCAGCTTTAGGTGAATGTTATTTGACAGCGTTGAGTTTTTTTTAATGCTCAATAGTTTAATTGTAAAGTTTTCAATGTTATTCTACATAACATTATTAGTGTCTACTTTAATTTGAAGTGAGTTTTTCGTTTATTCCACAGATATTAAGTCGTCTCCTTATGATAGTCTTGTTTTCAGATCGCTGTCATCACATGCTTTATTAACTTCTTGTATCCTTGTATTTCTGTTGACTAGTTTATTCAATTAACCTTTAGTTATGTGCTTTGTCTATCTTTTCAGTATGGATTGAAACTTAAGTCAATATATCTATTAAATACAAAGTTTTACTATCCCGGGATCTGACTCCAATTGGATTGTTTCTGATTGTTATTGAAATATACATATGGTCAATCCTCGCATATAATAATCGACTTAAATCACGTTAGTAAATGATGGAATTAAATAAGTCACACATGAGAATAGATGTTTCAATACGTATATTTTGTACATTCGTTTTTCTGAACAGACATTCATAAGAACGAAGCGAAGAGAAGAGAGTGAAGTGAGACAACACGTAGTGCAGAAGACGAGTGAGCCAACTCAGTTTAATCAAGCGTTAATCGATAGTCACAGTTACACAAAAATAAGTTACAAATATGCGATGAATGGGGTAAGAAGTACACACATATACGCTCATATAAAAACAGTCAGGGTTGATAAGCGAATAAATAACAAGGTCAAAACGTGACTCAAGCAGAATGAATAAATTGGCCTGTTCAGAAATTAGAATAACGTATTTGGGCCAAACATAGCAACCGACACTAAAACGTGACCAGGATACTATGCTTCTATAATTTTTTGTAATTATGAAAGTTCCTACAAATCCAGAATTTCGAATTTTCCTAAGTGAAATTTCTGTTTGTGACCATCTATATAAGTAAGTAGTAATATGTTTCTTTTCACTACTAATCTATGTTAGTGTATACGCATATAAAAGTAGTTTATGGAACAATATGAAACAATTGGGGAATATTCATTTGATGTTGTTTTACTTGTATCTTCCCATTGTTATTTAGGACTTCAGTTGATCAGTCTCATGTTGGCGTATGTGTGAATCGTCAGTTTGATGTTCACTCCGAGTCTCGAACCCAGAAACGTTCGCTTCAAACGCCACCAAGTTATCCACTTAGCTGCTGAATCCTGATAGCCACCTGCTTGTGCAGGTGAACATCAACTCTGGGATACAGGCACATCCATCTGACGAGTCTCAAATAGGACGAACTGCTCGTCAAACTGAATTCCGCTGCTGGCCATTATCCATCTTTGCTTAAAAATTGGGGAATATATTTCTAATGTTTATTTGTTATTGTTAACAAATCATTCTTTGTTTTTTAAAGTAGACCGTCAATGAATAATGTTACTAGGGAAAGATTTGTTGTGCTGTTAACTATGTTTTAATGCGTAAATGAATGTTAACTTCAGTCTGGAAACAATATAGTCTGTCCTCTGTTATACATGTCTTACAGGCCTATAGTTTTATTTTAGGGGGGGGTTATAGACTTAATTATCTATATATAGCTGCTTTGAGTAACGTGTGATTGGTATACTTGGTTAGCGTATAATTCAGTTTAGTCGATATAATAATAGTAGTTGAAGCAAGTAATCAAGCAAATCAATTTAGTAAGTAGAACTGTTCAATCTTTTATTTTCATAAGTGTGCTTAATAAGCGTTGCGACTACTATTGGACATTCAGTATTAGTTTGACTCGATGATGAGATAGAGTTATCTATACTACTGAAGAAAATAACAAACTAGAGATCGTTTTCTTTCATTTCTGTCGATAACATTATGAATGACAGTTAGTAACAAACTTGCGGACAGTTAGGAAATCCCAAGCAGTAGCAAGATTTATTTTAGCCAAAAAAGATACTAACTCTGGTTTCTAATATCTACAAAATAATACTCAAAACAAAGCGAATTAACATTTTATCGTATAAAACAATCGAGCTGACCTGAAGGAATACAATCACTTGAGTAGCAGCAGCAAATACCGAGCAAACGGATTCAAAAAACTTAACGCCAACACTTGAAGTATTATATAAATATAAAGGGATTTCAGCACACTATGACATTAAATTATGCAGCGACCCCAAAAATCCAGAGACAAAACACACAGAATAGGGCAAGCCTACTGCCATTGCTTACAAAGATGGCGGAAATGATCCTGTCACCTCGTCACTCAAATGTATAGAACCCTACAGTCACAAATTCAGAAGACGGAAGAAACCTGTAGAAGTGTTTGATTGGGTATGAATCCAAATGTATGGAAAATCATGGGTATTTATAGATATTAACATTTGTTATAACATCATTATAATTCAACCAATCCGCAAAGAGGTAAGTTATACTACTCGCTAATCGTAGCATGCCACACTGATATTCTAGAAAGCTGTATCACGTTCTGAATAAATGGAAACTCTTCAGCTTCTTTAGGGCCTCTAGAGGCTCCATCGTAATTCTTGGAAGTTGTCCCAACACCAACACTAATAATAGTAATAATAATAATAATAAATATAAATGTTTAAACAAGGAATGTCCAATAATACTCTAAATCATCTCTTTAATCTTTCTTTATTTCACTCATAGGAAATTTATACGGATATCATTTTATAATCAGTCAAAGTACATTTTTTTTGGATTTCGGTAGAATTGTCATACGTTGTAGCATATCATTTATGTATTCGTTTCACATAGAATCAATTTGACGGAATTTATGATTGCACACACACCCACACACCCACACAAAGATATACACATATGCATACATTATAAGTGATTTTGGCGGTAAACAAGCTCTACTTTAAACTAATTCTCAATATGTACTCGCATAGACTTGATTGTGAAATCGGTTTTTATACATATGCATTAGATACATAATGTTGTTTGATGGAATAGATTTCTATATGATTTGTAAAGTTTGTTACATTTTGTTTTCATTAAAAGATTATAAAGAAAAGAAATAATCTTTTTGGAATTGAATGTTTCCAAATAACGACCGAATAATTTAAGAAGACAATCCAATTGTTTCATAAATAGCATTAAATATGTAACGATTTCTAATACAAAAAGTTCAAATGCCATCAAACAAACTAGTGAGATATAGGGATATCTGATGCATTTTGAAGTATAGTGATGAATGATGAAGATGAAGACTGTATTGCTTCAGCATTGCAAAAGTAAGGAAAGATATATATATATAGACAGATAGTTAGATATATCGTGGTTACCTGTTCCTGCCATTTAGATATTTCAAAAAGCTATCTAATTTTGTTTATTTTAATACATTATTATGGTTATTAATCGTATAGCTCATTCAGGTTCGTTTCTGAAAAAAATGTATAATCTTTTGTTGTACAAGTTACAAAAGGCCTAATCATCAAAGAAATCATGGTTGTTGGCAATATGCAGCGAAAAAAAATGTACATTATTCAGATGTCGATTTACTGGACTACTAACTTCTAATTGGTGATTACTTATCACTTATCGCCAGGATCAACCAAGAAATCAGAAACGGAAACATGTTGAAATACATTATGCTAAAAACTGTATATTTTACCAAAAACATAACAGTGAATAAGCCAAATATCAAAAGGCAGTTAATGGACCAAGTCGAGATATATTTGCTGGCGATCTCATGGTATCGAAAGGATACCGAGATCGTGCCAGGATGCAAGCTTGGTTACTGAACGTAACCAAATTCGCGCGAAGTCACAATCAAAGTGTAAGAATAATGGATGCTTTTTAGCACAGTTAAACAAAAGCATATTAAAGCAGTCACTAGTACAATTGGTTATAATAATAAATGATTTCAATAAACCAGTCGTGTTCTCGTGATAAAAGTGAGTCACTACAGATAGATAGATAGATAGATAGATAGATAGATAGATAGATAGATAGATAGATAGATAGATAGATAGATAGATAGATAGATAGATAGATAGATAGATAGTTAGATAGATAGATAGATAGATAGATAGATAGATAGATAGATAGATAGATAGATAGATAGATAGATAGATAGAGTTAGAGAGAGAGAGAGAGAAATATCAAACGATTAGTTGTTATACATAAATTTTTGTGAATCTAATAAATATCATGTATTGACATTATCGATAGAATGGAATCTTCTTCTAAAGTATTCATTAATCAGCTTACATATTAATGAAGAAGGAAGGGGTCTGTGTTAGGGATTAGAACTTTCTAATATTTTAATAATTAAGTTGTTATAATCGTATTTTCGAATATTTTCTTATTTAATTCATATTTACTAATTGAAATACTATAAATAGAAATATGATGTAACAAATTTAATTCGTTACAATATATCATTCATCCCTGGTATTTAAATATTTCATTCAACGCCACCACCACCACCTCCACCACTACCAGCACCATCACCCCCACCACCACCACCACCAACAGCAACAACAAATATTATCATTATTATGAAACTTTCAACTTGTAACAAAAAAGATGCTTAATCTTTAGAATATGTACAATTAATAGTACATATAATTATCTCTAAGGGTAATCTTTCTTCTTATATTCTGTTATAAAGTAGATGAAAAGATCAAACACACAAACAAACAAACAAAAATACCATCGTTGTTTGTATTTTTCTTTTTTTTGTTTTTTATTATCCTACAGTTTTATTGATTGGTATGTTACAAATGGAAACTTAATGGTTTCAAAGTTTTCTCTTTTTTTAGAATAAACTTCAAATCATTATAATCTTTAAGATTTGATAACTACAATGTTATACTACAATGTTATATTCATTATTTGGGTCAATCATTTGGTGTTGTTTTATTTGTATCTTTCCATTGTTATTGAGGACTGCAATTGATCAGTAAAACAACACCAAATGAATTTAATCTTCACTCCATTGTACAAATAGTCCTAGCTATCATGATTCAGTAGCTAAGTAAATAACGTGATGGCGTCTGAATTGAACGTTACTGGGTTCGAGTCCCAGAGTGAGCATCAACTCTAGGATACAGGTACATTCAGCTGACGAGTCTCAAATAGGACGAAAAAGCGCGTGCCATTGATTCCATTGCTAGCCACTATCCCTTGTTGTTTAAGAAAACTAGTTGTGAAACACAATAAAATTGATTATATGTTACTGAGATATATTTTTTAAAGTAAAACTTTGCTTTAATTCATTTCGTACTTTAATAATTGAACTCATGAGTCAAATGAAGTAAGATAAATATGGTATGCCTGAAAACACTGGACGGCCGTTTCGTCTTAGTATCGGACTCCTCAGCATGATGATGATGTATTGTCCACTAAATAATGATACTTTTTCGATATTTTTAATCTTCTATTGGCTCCAAGCTTCAGAATATCTATCAGTAAACAACAGTTATGGTATTTATTTATTGAGAGAATTCCAGCCACTTATTTGTGACTAGAATTTGCATACATATTATATTGATATAACGTTTTATGTAATTTTATGGTCTATTAGTCATATACTACTCAACACTTTTTGCAAAATGAAAATTCACAAAAATCCATTAGAATAAAACTACGTGAAATGTATGTACTAGATTAGCCGGTTTCCTGGTTTCAGAAAGTATTTAGGTTGGAAAAACATAGATCTTATTACAAACATATTGAAATGTAACCATCTTCATACACGTAGTAACCATAAGTTGATCACTAGATACTCTGGATCACTCAAATATATCAGTTCAAGAACAGGAGAAAAAGAGTCATTCTGATTTGCGCATCCTAGTGGTTAATATTTAATTTAAATGTCGAAGGAGATACATATGGTGTTTGTTAAAAAATATGATTACATTTTTCGGGGACAGGTATGTACACATATGTGAGTGGCGAATATATTTTGTCTCAATTTAAGTGGCAAAAGTTTATCCACTCTTAGTTAGCTCAAACAAGCTGCTAACTATAAGTCGTTACAAACTCAGACGAAAGCAGAATATCACAGGTTGAAATTATGAGTCAATTGAAGCTAGACCACCATGGAAAACCTGGAAGCACTGGACGGCCGTTTTGTCCTAGTATGGGACTCTTCAGCAGTGCGCATCCACGATCCCGCACCACGCGGAGCTCGAACCCAGGACCTACTGGCTTCACGCGCGAGCACTCAACCATTAGACCACTGAACCGGCATCCAGTGCTTCCAGGTTTTCCATGGTGGTCTAGCGTCAATTGACTCATGATTTCAACCTGTGAAATTTGCTAAATTCTTCACAAAACTCATTCTAAAGCAGAATCTGACAAGTGGTTAAATAAATATTCCCCAATTGGCTCTAAACTTGTTAGTTTCAAGGAAATTAGTTGCTTGAATTAAAAAATCATGGTTTAAAAGCATTCTGAAATCAATCGTTCATATAATACTCCTACTACATTGTGTATGTTTAAACAATAAAACAATCTTATACTATGCATCTTCTACTTTTTCCTATTTAATATACGTCAATAAGAAGTACACTGGATTTTTAGCTGGCTTAAGTTGGCTGCTTTGTGAAGTCTTTCGGGGTCTTCAGAAATGATGAAAAACTAGGTCAGTATCAGAAGTTATTTACTAAAGTAACTAGACTCAAGTGTACGTGAAAGCTTTTACTCCGTGTGTGAATAAATTCTTGAGAGCTCAGCAAGATTAAGTAGATAACACCATTTCATCATACGGAATTACAGGAAAACTGAATCATTACGAGATTGGCTAAGTCTAGCTAAAACCCTGTGTAGATTAATATAAAAGATCATAAGTATATTGGACAACCCACTGCTCCTAGGTTCCCTATTCTCATATTACGTTTTTCTCTTTCGTTTAGTTCCATCTTTTAATTAATTCTTTTAAGAACCCTCTACCTTTAGGCATTCGTACACTGATTTTTGACATCTGCTAAGAAAATTTGATGGGACAATTGCTTATTCACATAGAATTTCTAGGTACCTGCTAACGTTGGTAAATCGATTCCAGCTAAAATAAATAATGGGAAATCACATATTCAGCCATCCATACTTTAGACCCCTTTGTTAGACCAAGATATCAAGCTAGAGGCGAATGATATCAAAATATAGAGGGTTACATAATAAGAAGGATAATAAATGAATTTTGTGATACTTGAATGAATTTTCTAGAGGCTGTCAACAAGAAACTATGCATCTACGTCTTGTGTTAGTTCCTACTCATCAACAACGTGTGACTGGAATACTGGAGCGAGTAATACTCTCCATAAAGTCATAACTAGAATCAAGATGGAAAAAGTTGCCATTAAGTTAATCAGGATTCAATTGATTTCAGATTAAAATAGGGGATTTCGGTTTTAATCTTACAGAGAAAGACCTTTTTATTTATGATTTACTTAGAGATGATTATCCTTATTGTGATTAGAAATATGAAGTTAAGTTGTCACTAAAATCGTTATTTATGATAAGGAACAATAATATGAGATCGCTACTCATTCGACGATAAGATGGAATCGCTTCAATCACTCCTGAAATCAGAGTTTGGGAAGTCCCGTTACTAAACTGAGATTAACTCATTAGATACACTCAGGAGCATCCGCGTCACCATTCTGAAGGTATCTTATGGCGAACCTATTTCCCTAAGTTTTCATTTGAAGGTGTGCCATCACTTGTACCTTTTCTCTTAGACCGCATAAAAATAGTTACTACAGGCTTGTGTCTTGCCTGTTATTCTGAAGTTTAAACGTTTACTCAAATGTGCCATATGATGTACTTTACAAACGTTTCACCAGAATCCATAAATATCACTTTGACATACAGACAACTCATCTAAACTTCTATACTATCTCGGAGAAGACGTTGATCAATTAAGGACGACTAGTAAGGAACCTGTTCTTCTGGTGTTATTGAATTGCATTTCATGTAGCAAAAAATTATCATCAGTAATATCCCTCGAACTTTTTATTGCTGAATTAGTTACGTAGACAGTACAGTATTTAAATATGACCTGTCCTCTTTTCGGCTTTATAATAAAACTAACTAATACATTGCTTGAATCCCCAGGAGGCTCAGTGCGACAGAGGAACATGTTAAATAGCACCTTCTAACATTGGTAATGATTGAAAATGATCTGCTTCTACTTGAGGATGTTCATGTCCACGCACCATTAGCAAATAGTGAAGTAGTACAGCCACGTTTGACGTAGTCACAAACGAACCACTACAAAGGGACGAGAATAATTCTCATCTTGGCTGCATTACAGTTGAATACACGAATGTGAGAGAGCAGTTTCAACACGCTTAATGTCCGCACGAATGGTTGGACCTGACAATGCATAATTACAGGAAAGTAGTGAAGTATATCATTCAAAATGCTGTCCAATGCATTGTACCTCAGGGTAAGTACACACCCGAAATGTGAAGGTCCTGGGTTAAGGCAAGGAATGTTGCTACAGGCTAAACGATTGGCCTGGTACTAGAGGAAAGTCCCTCTAAATGATTCGGATTATAGCTTTAATTCACTTGAGCTTTTATAGGACCCTGTAATAATAAATAAATTGGTTAGAACATAATCTGTCGAACAACGAATCAGATCACAGCGAATGAAGAAATCAGGAAGTCCTGGAGGTAGATTTGACATACATTGAGAAAAGCACCGAAGTGCGTCGCAAGGCAGACCTCCAAGCCACCGGCCAATAGCACTTCTCCCGATACTTCAAAAAAACGTGAGGCCCCTGATATGTGATGGCCTTTAGCGGTATGAGTTCCCAACCACGCAATTTTCGGGGCTGAATACATAATTGCTGAGAAGATTGGTATTCAACATGTAGCACTTGGATGAGGTCAGCAGTAGTGAACGCTGGAAGAAGGAATGTAAATGGCACGTCTCAGCCATATAGGCGTGGTCACTCTGTGTAAAGCCTATTGTATTTAACATATTACTATCCACCCAGCTCAAATGGGTTTTTCGGAAATGCTGGACATCATATTGTTCATCACCATGGTACTATGAGTCAGAGTAAACAATGGTATGACTTCCACGAAAGGTCTTATAGATTAGGTTTTCATGACAAGTCTACGATTTCGGGGTTAGGTCTATTGAAATAGTAACAAAGACAAATATACTGACACCAAACCAGACCATAATTCCACAGGCCTATGGGGCTACTTACTGTCCATAACCGTATCTTTACATCAACAGCACAATTACATGGAGGGCTACTCTTATGAAAGCAACCTGCTGATCGAGGTGGACAGATCAACAACCATTCCTTGTAGCAAAAAGAATATTGACTTCACGTACCTTGACATATCAAAAGCTCTTATTAGGGTCGATCGTAGGTGTCTTATCAATAAGCTTAAAAAAATAAGTTCGTTCGCTCTCTTCATATCTGGATAATCGACATTCTAAGGTCAGGGTAACCTTCACTTTTCTCAGACTACAGAATGTTCAGTACTAAGACCCCTTATTTTCTTAATTTATATGGACTACCTTCCCAAACATGCATCATCTGACATATTACTTTACGCTGATGATGTTAAACTCTGGAGAGATGTTTGCAACCAAGATGATAAGCTGGCACTTCCGGAACATCTGACTGGACTTCGAAGTTCGGTAGACAACAACGGACTTATCTTTAACACTTCAAAGTGTAAAGTAGTTCATCTGAGACACATCTCAGACTACGAATACAACTTAGGTAACTCTCCTTCACAGAAGTCCTAATTTGAAAAAGAATCCAGTTGTGTTGGTACCCAATGATCTGAAGTTTTATGTTAACTGAGACAAAAATGTCTTTTGAGCAAAACTTGCAATGGTAACGTCCAAGCAAATTAATGGCCAGTCCGACGGTGTAACTTCGCGCCTAATCTTCAACAAAATTATTCGACCCTATTTAGAGTACGGAAACATAGCGTTTCCTCCCTCACTCCGAAAGAACAAGGATACATGGAAACGCATCCAAAGGTGAACCACAAAATCAGTTCGGGACTCAAATTTAAAGCCTTATAAAGAGCGCTCCAAATCACTGAACATTTATCCATCGGAGTATATATATCTAGCATGACTTATATCACCATAAACACTCCTGGGTGCCTCTCAAATGTTTACTGATGATCGGTCTCAACACAAGCCTTGAGAATAACACACAGAAATTAGAGACACAACACAGCAGAACGGACTGTAGGCACACCTTCTACTCCTTAAAAGTAGTCAAATTCTAGAATTCAATGCCGTCTAAAGCGATCGGAGCTACGTCACAGGAGTCTTTCAAGAGTAAGCTTCATATTTTTAATGAAGTTTTGTTCTCTGACCTGGATAAAGAACAAAATTCCGTCAGAATCACTCACCTAAGCCACAAATCTCCACGAACTCGGAAACTTGATATACTATTGAGGATTAAGGACAGTGTCTCACCATAAGTTAACAGTACTCTTTTCTTCTACCGATAAGTATGCTAGATTTCTACCTGAAAGCATCGGTGACACGCTGCTACTAGATGTGAAAGCTCGCCAAAGGAAAGCATGTTCTAATCTGTCCAGAATCATTTGAACAAATAACAACATAACTGACTAGTTGAGTGAATAGAGATTACCAGATAACTTGTATCGCACCGAAAAACAAGAAGTGATCTCAGAGAAATAGATTGGTTTATATAAGCTCATGAAAAAGGTATTGAATATTAGATTGAACTTTAACTAATAGGGATTGACTACAAAGAGGCTCATTTTTCAAAAGTTTCGCTAGTTACTGCGGTTCTGGGTATTCTTGGTATAAGGTTAGTATGTTATAAGCTTTTATCGGACCTTACCTTAGATATGAAAAAATCAAAGTATTCTGAAAATTTATTTTTATAAATTAGGGTTAAGTCATGTATTTTACCATCGTATATTAAAATATGTTTATTTTTACAAATGGTCGTTCATGTCGAAAATTCCTGTTTGATTTGATATATATGACTTTAAATCATCAACTTTTATGGTTAAAATTAACCACATAGTTTTTACCTTTTTTTTAATTTCTGATCATTTAATTTTAGCATCATGTTGTTGCTTCAATAGCTTCAATAGTTCATCTCACTTCTATAAAGTGTTGCAGAAAACTATAACGGAATCGCCGTCAGCCTCTATTTTGAGCCATTTTTATAACATTTCGAGCTGCTGAGTTGTAAAGTCTTTAGAACCCTAACCGGGGAGTAATGATGAACCGACAGATAACAGTTCCATACCGCTCTCTTTCATGCCACGACGTTTCATGAACTGACTAACTCTCTTCTTTTTCCACTTAATTCTAGCATCAGTAAACAGTGTGCTGAGCAAAGGTCGCCACGATGATATTCGTTGAAAAAAGTCCGAGCCACCTTCGTACACACCCTTTCATTCCGTTTTCGAATCATGGAATTAGGAATTCCGTTGGTTCATCCCAGTTTTTGTAGAGTCAATAGACGATTAAGAACTCATCGTGATAGGCTCCTAACTTAACAAAAGACGAAGACAACTTAAAAGTAAACTATTAACATCTCAACACAGTGATCTTAAAAAGAAGAACAGATGAGACAGTGATGATAAGTAGCACTAAATACTTGTTTGGAGTCGCCAAGAAGACTGGTTGTTAAAGTGAGTGTTATTTCAACCGTCGCAAACGAGACAACTACAACATTAAATGAACATTTTGAGATAAAATGCAGCTACTCTACAGTCGAACATTTCAGTGAGAACTTAAAAAGTAGATCTACACTGGCACTTAACTCAGTAAAATAAAGTTCGTATCTGATATTAAACGATAAGGAGTAGCTAATCTAAAACGATTAGCCGTAAAAGGCATTTTAGATGCTATCTCAAAATCATTAGTTGAATTGATTGAGATTTTACTTTATTAGTTAAGGTCTGAAGGCTAGGGCTGATTTAATACATTTGATTTTATCGTCAGCCGTTCTAATTTATTCTTATAAATTCTTTAAGATAGAACAAAAATCCGCTCGTGACAATTATAAAATATCTAATTCAATGAATACAGTATCGAAGGTCTAAGCTTCCACAATTGTTCAACTTTCAGAAAAGTTGGCGAATGCATGCATTAAGTATCCATCGTTCGATGAGTCTCAAATATACGTACCAGTATCCGTAACTGTGTTACATAACTTAAGACAGGGTAGTACCCTGACCATATTGGTTTGTTGGTCATTGGAAAGTATGTTAGAATGTTCATCTAGCGATTGAAGACTGCTTACCAATCGAGTTCTAATCATGGCTAAGGTTTATTTCTCGATTTCACTCCTTTTTAGTGAGATGAATTCTCTACTTTCATTTTTCCACTGCAGTTTACAATATTACTCTCACTTCTTTGTCTTACATCTTTTAAATTTCCTCTGTCCCTTTGCTGATATTACGTTCATTAATTTGAGTGAATACATATTTGTGCTAGATCCTATTTTTTCTATGAATGACTGACACCCTCTATACTTTGATTATTTATTTTTATAAGTGTTTCACTGATAAATTCAGTCTAAAAATGTATAAGGTACTGGTAACTTACATACATTTTCAGTTGCGGCCTATTCTTACTTTCATCCCACTAACTTCAATTCTAAGAAAATTTGGTGTCTAATCTTTAGACACGTAAATGCTTAATCGTCTAAAATTAATTGAATAACCTTAGTTCTACCTAGAACGTTTGGCTTTTCTCGCAACGTTTTAATATGTGTGGACAGGTAACTTTTGAAAATGTTCATGAATAATTCCTTTATTTTCGTAAATAGTTGACTATTTATATTTTCTAGCCTATTTTTACAGAGGAATATTGTCTTCTCGATATTTCTTGATAATGAACCGCACTAAATAGCTAGATATTAACTATTCGTTACGAATGAAAATTTACCATAATTCTTTCCACATCACCTCAGGTTTTTATTTCTGTATTGTTTTTACGAAGTAGCTGTCTGACCAACATATCCTGGAATTTATTTTTATTGTAGTTGTAGATTACAGTTTGTCTCTTTCATTTTAATTCTTGTTATCCTATTAACTTTTCGACAGATTTTTCCATCTTAACATATTCTTCGAGTATTGGGATAATACACAACAGTTAATTAAATAAATTATTCATAGGTTACAAATCAGCTGTTTTTTAATCCTAGTAGTTAGTGATAATTCAAGTCAATATTGATGTGGACAAGTTGAAAATTGACGAAGGATCCCTGTATTCCAATGTTAAGTTATATATATGTAGTCTCATTTGTTATAATAAGGGAACACCTCGAATAAAAGTTAGAACTTGATTACTTTTACAAAATGTATTACTATTGTGTGGGAAACCTCTCACTACATGATGTGTTCGGTTTATTTTTAGTCTGTATGGAAAATTGGTTGACTGATTAGTTATATTGATTACTAATTAATACCCATTTTAATTTTCTCTCGTTTTACAGCCTTCACCATTTTGCTTATTATCGTAAAGAATTAAAAAGATCATTGCAATGAGCATAGAGACTGCTCCGTATACTGTTTCGAAAGCTTGGACTCAAGAAGTTAGTTTTTCGTGATCATATTGAGATTCTTAGAAAGTTGAACTGCGTGAGTATAACTCTTTACGATGGGTTTGCGCCATGAGTCATGAAAGTTCAATGGATAAGGCAAGTAAGGAGTGCTTTTGGAAATTGTTCAGGTATATTGGTGGGAAAAATGCACAAAGTTTGTGATTTCTTTCTGATTAATATTCCTTACAGAGGTTAAAGTACCTATGACTGCTCCAGTTACTATTGAAAGTAAACCAGATCATCAGTCTGTCATGAAAAGATGTTTTACAATGGGTTTTTACATTCCTGAAGCGTTTCAATCAAATCCACCTGCTCCGACTGAAGACGGGGTATTTATAGAAACTAGACCAGCTATGAAAGTTTACTGTTGGTGAGATATTTATACATAGTCTGTTTAATGTAACTTAATATTAACGTTATATTTATAATTCGCATTAAACCATTGAACCGAATATTGCTTTTTAAGAAGTTACTCAAATTTGATCACTACTGCAGCCCAACCACATTCTCGTAACTATCTTTTTTGGAGTCTTATTTACCTTTAATAATTCAATAGACGTTAAATATCATTATGTAAGTGACAGTTTTTGAGTGCTAAAAGCCATAGAATACCTCACAGTGCTGTGCAGGTATTAAATGTTTACCGTGTGAAGGATTTCTGTTACAATAGATTTAAAAAGAAATAATTTTAGTGAGTGTATTCTAGGCCGCTATTCTTTAGTAAGGTCTCATACAACCAACATCAGGCAAACCATTTTGAGAAATCTTAAATACGGTTTTATTCACTGTAATTAACCATACTGTCTATATGTACTATTAAAACAGGTACCTTGAGTGTCTATTAAATAATAAGGTTTTGCAGTTTATATCTTTAAATCTTAATTTTCTGTAAAATCACTTAATCTGAACACTGTTTACAAAACTAAGAAACATGCAGTGACACAGTAAATTATTCATGATTCATATATTCGATTTTGTACCTCTGGTATAAAGTACTGGAAATCAGGAAGTGGAATCTGGTTTTAATATTCGTCCTAATAGCTATTAGTTACGTATCTAAATCATATTTTCCAAGACTGGCATCATGAAAAACATTTTTACCCTTTGAAAACCTATTATGTTTTCAAAACGAGAAACAAGTTTTTTATGTTTATCCCTGTTCCTTGAGTAGTGAACTCAACTCAACGTAACAGAGGTTTAAACAACAAGGAGGTAAAAAAAAACCTGGTACCTATTGCGTCGGAACAACAGGTTAGAGTAGCAAAAACAAGAGTTCATATGGAATTGACATCGGTAACTTTTCGATCTTCCTGTTACTTCTGCTAATGCTTATTGGTTAGAAATGAATTAATTAGCATGTTTAGAATTCAGCTCAAACTGAGCATTCGACCGTTAAAGTTATATTATGTGCATGAACTTCGCTGCCAACCTAATTGAAATAAATAGTTATACCATATGTCGACTTTTCCATTGCAAATTCTGTATCGAAATTGAAGAGTTTGATTAGTATTAGCTAGTATTTTTCTTTTTCTATGTTTTATTCTGTTTGTCATTGTTGAACTATTTTGTATAATGGTGTACGCACTACGTATTTTTACTTTTAAACTATGGTCACTATGATTCAAAAAGTGATAGCTCTTAGTTTTAATCTCTTGACGTTTTAAAAATGTTAAGTATGGTATCTTGCATCCCTTAAAATAACTAGATTACTTTCATGTATACAGAAGCGTTGAACAAAACAAACTAAGTTCTATGGTTCATTTCATTTCAAAAAATATAAGGTATTTAATTTACTCTGTAATGGTATGAATTATCCTGCTGTTGATACTCTTGTTACTAAAATTTGATCAATCTTAGTTGACATATTTGCACTCTATGCAGATTGCTTCGATATAGCCATTATGAAACAAGGTTACATAGAATATTAACAATGGAGTAAGCCAAACCATTAAAAATTAAATTAAAATTCATATCCGTTTAACAACTGAATGGCTTTCTGGAGTCAATGTCTAAACGGATAACTTGTTGGCGTTTAGAACGAAAAGTATTAGGTACAAACACTCTAGTGGAAATCAACTCTAAGATGTAGGTACATACAGCCGACAAGTCTCGAATGGGATGAAATACGCATACTGGATTCCATCACCAACCATATTTGATCTATTCTATAAAATAATTAATTGGTTTACTTTATTTCATTTTCTTTTTTTTAAAAATTTTATATAAAGGACCTATTCAGGTTTCTCAAATAATGACAAAGCATTAAATAATGCACGTAAACTTGGTGAAAGTCTCGATCAACTTGGTTTAAAATATATACCAGATCCTTTTTATTTCGCTGGTTATGATTCACCATTCAAATTAATTAATCGTCGAAATGAAATATGGTTTAAAGCTCAATGAATAAATTTCTGTTCTTTTTATCACAATGAAAATAATAAGTGTTTACTTTAGAGAGAGAGAAGGGGGGAAAGAAAGTAAAGTACTTATCAGCTGACAACGTTTCTTTTTTTTCTGCATAGAACTTTGTTTCTATTCTTTGTAATCATTAAAGAGTACATTATGTCACATTTTTTTATATTTTATGGGATAATTGTTTTATTACACCTGAACTTTTTTTCACTTATATATATATGATTGGTTCATTCTGTATCTATGTGATTTCACGTGTTGTTTCTATTCTCTATACAATTCATATCACTTTCTATATAAGTGTACTTATTTCATTGTTTGGATAATAATCATAACAACAATAATGTACTACTACTAATAATAAGAATAACAGTAATAATACTTAACTCAGGTATGATCGTATATACTTTACATAATCATAATATATACCTAGTCGTTTTTTGTTAGAAAAACCTTTCTTTTCAATTTTATAATCTCAGGTCATAGTGTTAGTTACATTTTTTTTCTGAGCAATTCAAAGTGTTGTGTTTAAGAATTAAATAGATTGGTTTTTTCAATATAATCAGTCTTATAATTGTTATTTGTATACAAATGAATGTGGATGAAAAGAAGAAGGAAATAAACATTACGTTGTTGTTAACATTAGATTTAGTTGGTTTGATGATATGTAATATGTTTTGTGTAATTAAAACAGTTTAAAAGAGAGGAAGTGATTTCACTGATGCAAAAATATGATTGATTTTGATCATGCGTTCCCTGAAGAATTGGAGATACTCGTAGGTGGTTACTGGTATCTTCCAAGTATTGTTCGTGTATTTTGAGACCACTGAGTGAACATTGCCTAGGTTAGGCTTGGGGTACGTGATGAACATTACAAATAGACTGATGAAGTAGTGAATCTATATCAACTGAGGCGGTTGGGACATGTTTAACGCATGCTCTAACTTGATTGTTGATGTTGTCTGGGGTAGGGGTAGGCTGGAGGAAAGTTAAGGGCAACCTAACCAAGAAGTGACACCAATGCACGAGGGTATTAACAATCGAAGTGAGCTATATCAATAAGTGCAGACTACCCGATTGTGGTCGGTGTGATTATCGTAATCAATGGCTAGAGTATTTGGATGGCATGACTTAGAATTGTTTACCACGGCATATTTGCACTCAATTATTGTCTTTATTCAGAACTCGAGTCTCAAAATCTCGACCATTTTATTTTGTTTTGCTATGCCTGATCTCGTTTATTACTGATACTGTCCTACTCTGTGATTCGTCTTTAAATAATTTCATCTCACTGTGCTAATTTGGTATTGTAACTTGGGCCAATACATATATTTATCAGGTTCTACGTTCCGTAAATCTCTATCTCTAAATCAAGCATGTTTTCTCTGAGTCATGGTGTTCGAGTACAAAATTCTCACCATCTTTTCTCGGGATCAGGATCTTTTCAAAACAGGTTAAAAAGCCTTGATGAATGCTTTATTTTTTAATTTAATTATTGTCGCCCTTGATTATATACACTTTTATTGGCGGTTTATTATTTATTTATTCGAACACATAAACACTGGTAGAAGGGGGCACCAAATACTTATGTGCCACACAATAACAGTGAGGTTGTGAAAGGATAGAGAATTAATGTAAAGTGCATATAATAAAAAGAAGGACAATAAATAAGAGAAAGTAGTGCGAAAGTGAAATAATAATAATAGGAGGGGCAGTTCAGTTTAGTAAAACACAACCAGAAAGAATTCTTTCAGTTAAATAAGTTACGTTCGTTTTTGTGAAGAAAGTTACAGTAGGATCGTCACTAGCTTCTACTCTGAGCCATATCTGATAACGTCTCTAGCCAATGTGTTGCACCATCTCTTAGAACCCAACCAGGGAGTCATAAAAGACGAACAGAAACCAGCCCTTTGTAGCTTTCTTCCATACCACGACACAATGTCATACACTGACCACCTCTCCCCTTTTTCCAATCGGTCTTGGTGTTGGAAAATAATGCACTTAATGGAAATCTTTGGGAAGACATTCATAAGACATGTCCAAGCAACAGAAGTCGATGTTTCAAGATAGTGGCACTAACTGAATTGTTGTAAGTGTGCCCGGACACACGATGCCGAATATCTGCATTACTAACATGGTGTTGCCACTACATGACAGCATTCTTCAGAAAACAACGATGACCAAACACACCTCAACTCGGAGAGGCCAGGTTTCACAAGCATAGAGAAACACTGCTCTCACCGATGCGTTGTAGATCCGACCTTTTGCAGCCAGACTAACATCATAAAGGCGCCAAAGATGACCCAGATTGGCATAAGTCGATCTGGCATTCGCTCTGCGTGACTTGATCTCATCATTCATGCCACCACCAGCACTTACGCAGCTACCCAGATACACGAACTTCTCGACTACTTCTAGTTACTCACTACCTAGGGTGAGTGCAGGGTCAGGGTTCAGCCAGTCTTGTAAAAGTACTTTGCACTTCGAAGGTGCAAAGCATATACCATACCTACGGACACTGATTGCCAATTG